ACTATCTATAATCCTTGGGATGAGCAAGAACAAAAATAATCTGTAAATCTATGGGTTTTGGAGCTTTGTTAAAAATGAAAATCACAATATTCCACCTGAAGCTGGGAATTTTAATGTTCTTGGTCAAAATTTGATTCTGAAGAATGGTGAGAGATATTGAAAGAAAGGAACTGAAAGTAACAGCAGAGTCTGTTCATGACATGTTGGGCATACCATTGGTGGAACCAAACTTACAACAACGGGATCAATGGCCTAAGATGATACAAGGTATGATGAATGGAAGCAACAATTTAAAAAAGATTCAATCATCCGACTGAGTGCAATAAAAAATGTTATTGTTTCTACCACACAAGCTGATTTCAATTTTCAAATTGAACTTCCTAGTTCTTTTTGTCAACACGTTTTTGCGAGTCAACATCAATGGGAAAATGCAACCTGTTTCCCTTGAGTTATATTTCAAGAAAATAGATATCAGCACATAGACTGGTGCATCTATGTTTTGGACTGTCTTGTCAGAACAAAAAACTCATACATACCATACTCAGATAACCAGCTTCTTTGTTGGACCTTCAGCTTTCTTGTGGTAAGTTATTATAATATTTATACTCAATTTTAATAATATTGATTATTCATAAACTAATAGCAAATATTCATATATGAATAAGAAAAAATATGATTTGTTCACACGTAATGCTTTACATTACTTATTCATATATGAAAGTAAAAAATAATATTACTTGTTCATATATGAATATCAATTAGTTATCATTTTGTGCAGTGTTCTATGCTGATAACATCCACTCAGAAGCTTTAACAGTAACACGTAAACGTCCAACAATTTGTTATTGGAGTTCAGAGAAGATTAGATATCGAGAGACATTTGAACAAGAAAAAGGTAGATTTGGACTTGGAGAATTAAACGAAGAATTTGTTAATGAACAAGATGAAGGAGATACGGATCTCGAAGACAGTGATTCTGATAAAGATGAAGATCATTCTGTTGAGGTAATGAGTTTGAACATGTTAATAAATATGAAATTACATTAAATTCTAATCATACTTCTTTTTATTACATAGGCATATGAATCAAAAATATCTAAATGCTTAATAGTTTTCGAGAGGCTGAAGGAAAAGCTGAATTTAAGCTCAATGATGCGATAACAAAGTTCCCTGAAAAGGAAAGTTTTAGGATTTTCGAAGAAAAGATGACAAATATAATTGGTGAAGAAAAAACAGAGGCACAACTATTTTTGAATTTCCAAGTAATAAACTGGATTTGAAGGAATCAATTTGACAACAATAATCGGTCAAAAAAAATGATCAAAAAGAAATGAAGATAAAGAAGGAAATGGTGAAGAAGACAATGATAATGATGGAAGTCAATCAGAAGAAGATTATTTGCTTGATTCAAATGAAGCAGAGAATGAAAGAATAAGAATGATGGAGATAATAATCAAAAAGAGGTGAAACTGAAGTAAAAGAGAAAGATGGAAAGAACAATCAAATGAAAATGATGAAGAAAAAAGCGATGATAATGAAGAAACATAATCATGAAGAGACTATTCAACAAACTGAAAATGAAATTTGTTGGATAAAGTTGTTGACAACATTGTGGACAATGTCCTTGGAATTGGAATTTCAAGTTTAAATAGTCAAGAAGATGAAATCTGGAATCACCCTGAAATGAAAACTATTTTTGGATAATATTGATATAGGTAAATTTTGTCTTACTTTTATTTTAAAAAAATATAAAAATATTAATACACACATAACAATTTTGTTTATTAAATTTTGACCAGGGTCACCAATGAGTACAGGTAAAACTAATACTCTTGCAGAAAAGGAAAAATCAGAAGGTGTACTGAACAAGGAACAAAAGTTGAAAAAACAAAGGGAGATGATACGGGTAATGAATGATTTAAAATATATTACAATTTATATTGATTTTTTTTAATAATTGTTTATTCATAAGTGAATAATACTATATAATGAATAAAAATAAAAAATATTCATATATGATGTATATGTTTCAGGCAAGGAAACTCTGAAGATAGAAATAAAGGAGGAACAGAAGCTAAGAACACGAAGATGGAGGTGAAGATAAACATACAAAAACTGAGAAAGGAAATGCAGAAGATAAAGGTAAATAGTTGAATCACTAATAAATGAATATAATAAGTTTTTTATTCACAAATAAATAACGCAATATAAAAAAAAATAAATTTTAATATTTCTTATTCATAAATAATGATATGCATTACTTATTCATAATGAATACATTACTTATTCACATATGAATTACTTAATCAAAGTTCTTTATCTTTCAAGAAAGAAAAAGTCAGAAAATGAAAACGAAAGGAGAAAAAGCTGACAAGACAAAAGGAAATAAAGGAGGTAACCATGGATAAACACATTTCAAAATATAAAACTCAAATATTATAATTAACTTACAACTATTTATATGATAAATCTCCTGGCATGCCGATACTCATCCAAGCTTTAGTCTAGGTCTCAGTCAAGATTCAGATCAAATTTCAAGTAAAAAATCTAATGAATCTTCACCAAAAAAAACTTACAAAGAAACAAATCAAAGACGACCATCAGAAAGTTGTTATCAGATTAGCAAAGAAAAATGTTCTTAATCCAAATCCAATCTCTGTATCAATTCCTACTGAAGTAGGACCATCAAAGCATGATCTGGATCAACCCAAGAGAGAAGAAGCTTGCTGATGCGTTCAAATCACCTTTCAAATGCAGAATAACAGACAAAAACTCAAACTGACACATCAGGAGAGTATTGTCTGTGAATGGTTGTTCAACTTACAAGGCAATACATCGTAAGTAACTTTATTTATATACATTCATATATGATTATTATATAGATAATAATCTATGACATTTTGATTAATATTTGCAGAGATGTGGTTGTCCAGACAAATATGGTCAGATAACAGAAAGCAGTTATGGAAAGTCTATATGCAAACACAGAGATTTTTGGAGAAGTTTTAGACACTTGGTATGATTTACTTAACCACCAAGAACTGAAAGGGATTTTGGAAATTCACCATACAGACTCTTCTTGAAAGTTGGAGTTTTCTGTAAGTTTATGTTCTAACCTTAATTCCTTCCTTATTGATAAATGAATACACCAATATGATGTATTCATTTATGAATATTATATTTTTTTTACAACTGAAATTCACATATGATTATACAAAATGATGTATTCTTTAATATAATTATATATATTCAACTGAAATTCACATATGATTATATTGTTTACAGACTGCTTATCTAACTTCAACATTGTCCGATGAAATAAAGTATGAAAAATTCAAGGAGAACTTTCATGACAGTACCAATGGGTACAAAAAAATCTTGAACATAAAAGATATTGACATGGTATGTTAATTAAAGTTAGTTTATATATATTTTATCAACAAAATACTTACCATTATATACAAAAAACAGGTATTCTTTCCAGTTGTTAAAAGTGCTCACATTTTTGTGATTGTCTTCAACTTAAAGAAACCATCAATTGAAATTCTAGACAACAGTGCAGTTGAGGGGGATTATGAAGGAAATACAGAGTAGTATATATGAAACCTTTGGTATGTACCCAATTCACAACAACATAAAAGAACCAATTTATTACATATCTAACTTTTATTTTATTTAATGATCAGAAAATTTGTTTGTGAGATACTTTAAAGAAATAACCATCCAAGAGCAAATGCAATCTCAAAAGAAAGTATCAAACCCCAACGACTTGAAATGACATGGAGAACAGTTAAAAACAAAGTTGATTGTGGAATCTTTGCAATGAGACATATGGAGACCTATATGGGACAACCACTCTCAAAGTGGAAACCAGGTCTTCATAAAGAAAGTGCAATTCAACAAACTACTTTAGAGAAGCTCAGGCAAAGGTATGCACACATAATGCTAACTTCTGAATTAACATGTTGAAGGCTAAGGTGTTGGATCTTGCTGAAAAATATCAAAAAGTTGAATTCAAAGTGCGTACTGATCATGCATACAAGGCTATGCAAACAATTCAAAAAAGGTTAAAAGAATATTGATGATTGCTTGTGATGAAGTGTGATGCTATAGAACAGTTTGTGTTGAAGATGAATGGATTTGAAGTACATGTAAGACGATTTGCGAAACAATTTTAGATGGTTTGTTAAATGTTCGTGTTAATATTTTGTGAAATGCTTATGACAGCTTTTATTATCTTGTGTTGAATGATTATGTAATAGAAACAAATTCGCTTATTTCTGTCAGTTTTTATATTTAAATATTTTCAAAGTTTATTATGTTTATATCATAATACACGAATATGATATATTCATTTATGATTAAATTAGGAGTAAATATTCAGTATAAAAACAATTTCAGATATGAATATAACTAACTTATTAGTAGAAACAAGTTTTGCTTATTTATGTCATTTTTTTATTCAAATATTTTCAAAGTTATTTTTATTTATTCATAAATGAATACGAATATGATATATTATTTATGAATAAGTTCAAAGTAAGTCATATGTTGTATAAACAAAGTTCAGATATTAACATAAAAAATTTAGATATGAATATTACTTATTTATTAGTATAACAAATTTCACATATTTGTATTCATTTATGAATAATTTTACAATATCAATATAACGTATTTTTATAGAATTTAAAAACAAATATCAACATATCAATTTACCATATCAATATAAATGTGTATATTCATACATGAATATTATTGTTTATTGTTTTTTTTATCTGCATATATTCATAATGGAATAAAACCAAAAAACATAAAAAAAAACTAAAAAATCCCTAACTGTCTTTTGTTGATTTAGCAGCTCCAACTCTTTCTGGATAAGTACGTAAATTGTGTGGAACTCATTTTCCACATCCTGAACACATTCTATGTTCTTTTTTAGAATTTTCATATGCTACTTCACCTGCACTTGGAATTCTTTTCTTGATTCCAGAACCTTTATTGCTTTGAACTTCAGGAACATGAATATTAATCTCTTCTGGAATAGGAATAGTAACACCCAAAAGCTTGCATACGACTTCACCATCTGTCTTGCTTTTCAATCCAGGAGAAATATAATCACTCTCAAATTCCTTCAACAACATTTGTTGTTTCTCAACAAACAAAGTCAATCTCTTTTTGTCATATCTTACAATATCCAAACATGATTCAAAACTATAATATGAATCATTGACTAGCTTTACATTCTCACAATCACCTGAATCGGATTGAACAGAACTAAAATGATAATTTCTTGATATCACATCCTTTCTCCATCTTTTCAAAATGTACCTTTCAGGAATTTCTTTAACACCACATCTCATCATTATTGTAAAAGCATGTCTGCATAAAACACCCATACGCTTAAAATGTTCACAACTGCAATTTATTTCTTTCTCTTCAGCTTTTATTTCAACCTGATACAAAAACAAAATTTACACATTTACATTCATATAAGAATACTCATATCAACACTCATATATTCATATATTCATATAATATTCATATATTCATATATTCATATTAATATTCATATATGAATATTCTCATATTCATATATGAATATTATTACATTTTTCATAAAAAACTAGTAAAATTACCTTAAATTCATATTTAAATTCACTTTTATTGTTGTTGTGCTGCACAATGTAAACTTCCCAACCATCTTGAATACCAACATATGAGTATGTATAGAAAAAACATGCTTTATATATTTCTTTTTGCACCTCAAAAAATAATGTACTTGTATAAACCTTTGATGCTTGCAGTTCTATTTCTCGAGGTGTTTGCATTTTATATGATGCTTTCTTTGATGCCTTATCAAGCTCTCGTTGAGTATTCCTTTGCTTTTGAATGGCAGTGTCGTAATTCATCATGAAATTCAAAAGTAAGTTCCCACTTTCTGAGTATGTATTAAAGAATGAATTCATACTCTCTGACCTCGATGTAGTCTTCATCAAACCACACATTGGAATATCACTAAAATATCCAGGTATCCATGAATCACGTATTGTAAACATGTCTTTAAACCATCTTGTGTCTTCAAGATTGAATTCCTTCATAAGCAAACCCCACTTCACCTCAAAAACATCAGGTTTCATATTAATGTCCCAAAAAAGCTT